GATCTCCCACTCCTTTTGGCCTTTGGGACCTGTTCTAGGGACTCTGAAAACACCCCCTCCCCGCCCCCATGGAGACTCCTCCTCCAGGCAGCAGGCATGGGCAGGCGGATGGGGTACCTAAGCCCTGCAGGGGGCTCCAGCAGGAAGTGAAGGAGCAGTGGGAATTGAGAGGCTCTTGTGCAGACACCTCTGTCTCAGTTAGGGGTACAGAAAGCTGGTGAGCAATTCTGAGCACCAGAATGGGAGCTAGCTCTTCCCCCACCAGGCACCTCATTCTGCGATCAGAACTACCCACCCCCCACACTGGCCCCAAGTAAGCTGAGCTAAAGAACATCAATTTAAGGGAGATGCCTGAGCCAAATCCAACTCTCCCAGAAGCCAGGCCCAGATCCAAAGTGTTCTGGGAGAAAAGCCCTAGAATGAGGAAGATGCTGGCCCCACCCCAGAAAGAACCAGCCAGAATCCCCAGTGCCTTCTGCTGCTCAGCCCACCTACCCTGCCTCAGTTTGCCTATTTGTTAAGTAGAGAAGCACCCTCTCTGACATCCCATCCTTGGAAGGACTCAGGGGCTCTGGAGGACAGACATCCTTTTAAACCAAAGCATCTTTAGTTCGGTTAAATACCAGCCACCTCTGTTTAATGCTGCCCCTCCCTCTCGCTTCTCTCTCAGGTAGCAGCTGTAATCCCTGCAGGTGTCACAACTACCAATGTCAGGGTCCTCTGGGAATACTCTAAAATGCACCTGGCCACTAACCACTGGCAAAGTCTCTGGGTCGCCAGGGAGTAGACAGAAATGACAGAGAAACCAGAAGAAAAGTAGGAACCAACCACTTCCACATTTCCTTGCCATTCAGAAAGTTGAAACGTTTCTTACCTTGCACGCGCACACACGCGCGTGCGTGCGTGCATGTGTGTGTGTGTGTAGGCGAAAAATGCAGAGACTAAGAATAGGAAGCACTAGAGAAAAAGACCGGGTGTGTCTGGACTAGTAGCGCCCCCCCCCCACGCCACCAGGGGGGCATCTTTGGTCCTGAGTGTAGGAGGATCCCGCAGCACGAAAACAGGATCCAGCAGTACTTAGATGGGACATGAACAGCCTGACTCCTCCCCCCAGCCCCCCTCACCCGAGAAGGTGCATGAGGGCAGACACTGAGCAGCTATTCCCCCCACCCGCCGAGTCCAGAGCAGGCATGGGAAGTGTCTACCTAGTGAGACACAGCTTAGAAATGGGGGGAAGGAAGGATGGCCCATCCATCCATGAAAAAATAGGCAACATCCGTGAACAGTGTCATAGTGCCCAAGTTTGTTGTCATCCCAGAAATAACCAAGGGCCCCCAAGAAGTGGGTGTTCAGCCACCCTGCCTTCAGGTGCTTCCGAGGTGGTTGGAGTCCCCCAGGATGCTGAAAGAAGGCAAAGGGGGAAAGAGATGAGCCATTTGTCGACATGAGTAGAGCAGAAGGACCGTGTCCTTGCTAGGGACCCAGCAATGTTGCGGGAGTATCAGGAAAGGAGCAGCAGGGGTCCCTGTCAGCATCCTGGCAAAGCCTCCACTTACCCTGCTCTTCACCCCTGAAAAAAGCCACACTCGAGGGATGTTCAGGGGAGATGATCTGTTTATTGTAGCCGATAGATCCAAGCAATACAACAAACTGCAAAAGAAACGCAGTCTGCTCCGAAAAGCAGACACATCACAGAGGCTGGGTCACAGAGGACCATTGAAGTTTTTCTCCCCACCCCCTCCAACCACCCTGTAACACAGAAAACCTAGAAAGTGCATAAGTAGTTGGGTTTTCTCCTCCAAGTGCACAAAAAGCAATAAGAACATTCCATAATTTGCCTTTGGTGAATCAACTCAAAACATTGAGAAATGATGGTTTCCCCCCCCACACACACACCCGGTATAACTTTTGGGGTGGATGTGGCGCGATGTTTTATATTTGTATATAGAATATATCTATACCTATATATAGACTATGTGCAAATGCATCAGCAAGCTTCAATAAAGGAAGACATCAGCAAGAGGCACAGGCTGTCTATCCTTAAGACAAGTTGCAAGGAAAATTTCTTGATTCATCACTCATTCTGACTGCACCACGCCATCCGTATGGCCCGGGACTGTCTTCTGGGACCTGGCCAGTATTTTCCATTTTCCATCTGCTTCACCTGACCTTGTAAACACTTACCAGCCCAACTTCTCCAAGGGAACTTCCGGGGAGAAAATATGGATCCAATCAGCTTTTCCTTTTTATAAATTGGGAATAACTGTGATTAGTCCATAGCTAAGGGGCAGACAGCCATTTTCAAAGCCAGTTTCAAGGCACCTCAAGGCATTTCAGTCCTGAAAAAATTGTACTTTGTTCTTAGAAGTTCAATCCCATGGGTTGGCCGGCCCATCTCTTTACAGTGGCCCTTAATTAGGAGGAAGAGATGGACAGGGAGCTCCAAGACAACAGGAGAGGCAGGGGCGGTTGAGGAAACCAGCAGACTGGACCCAGCAGAGCACAGTGATGGGAACATGCAGCCGGAAGTGGGGCTGGACCCCACAGCACAGGGAGAGGAGCAGCTTGCTGGTATGAACTAGAAAGCAGGGTAGAGAAATGGCTGCTATGGAAACATGTCACCGGTTCCCCACCTCTATTCACAGAAGCCCCATCTTGTTCCCAACCTCACGGCCGTGGGGGAGGCAACTCTAGGAGAGCTCTGGAACAGATTCTAAGAGGCTGCAGGAGAAAGTGCCCATGAGGGTGGGCAGCCGGGGGTGGGGGGGCCCATTGGGTCAGGGCGTTGAAAGGAAGGAACCCAGAAGCCTGGGGCTTCTTGATGGAGAGTTGGGACTTCTTAGAATAAACCTAGGGAATCGCGCAAAAATTTCCCCTAAATGTTAGGCGTCCTGGAAAAAGAAAAGTGCCTCACATCAGCACAGATCCTCACTCGTCCTGAAAGAGGAGAGCACTTGAAAGGTTGCCGAAAAGGGAAATCTGCAGGCTGCAGAAGTGTATCACAACCGCCCTCGGTCTCAAGCCGGTATGAGATGCCCACCACGCATCGCCCCCCTCTTAGCTGGTTGGCTCCAAGGTTGAGCTGTGTCCACCTGCCCCAGGCATCCTGGTGGCTTAGCCCACCCCCATTGGCAGTGTGTTGATTGGCAGTTAGGTACTGAGCTGGACTCACCCCACCCAGGAGCTGTCACCCAGGCTGTCCGTCCCCCACTCTGCATCCACTCTGCCTGGCCTGTCACCTTGTTCCCTGTTGGACCCCCACCCCCACCCCTTCCTTCCTTTCTTCCTTTCCCAGGGCCCAGATTCGGGACTCTCTTCCTTCTCTCCAACTCCAGCCCTGGAAGCAGTGGTTATAGAGGTGGAATTAGATGCATCAAAAAAAAAAAAAAAAAAAAAGAATCTTGGTCCCCATGGTGCTGACCTGACAGTTCCCAATTCTTGTTATGGCTTTGTGTGCATCCCCGGCAGCTGGCACACAGGAGATGCTCAATAAATGGATGTTGAATTGAAGTGAATTAAACCAAACCTCCCGTACGCTCTTGTTCTCTCCCCAAATTGGCCATCTGATGGGCAGAGACAGAGAGTGGTCCCTGAGACTGTCACAGTCCTGTCTCCACCCCCCCTTTCCTCAGAGCGGTTCCTGCCCCCGGCACTGACTCCCAGAGCCTGGGCAGGGTCTGAGCTCCTTGAAAGGCCGGGAAATGCTAAAGAAGGTCAGTCTGGGGCAGGGGTGGGGCCTCGCCAGCAGCTCTGCCCTCCCTCTCCATCCCTCCATCCCCAGCGCCCTGGGAGAGGAAGCAGGCCTGGACAGACCAGCTCCCTCACCTCACCTCCCTGTTTACCAGCCCACAGAGGCCCTTCCCACAGGGAAAACTATGGCTCTGTTGATCCAAACTGGAGACTGAGGAGCCAGAGGAAGGGAGGGCGGGACCCTCAGTCTGTCAGTTTGAACCTGGTTCCCCATCTCTAGCGAGTGACTTGCCTCCTTGATCTCTGAGGGTCTTCTAATGTAGAGTTCACATCAGCAGTTTCTCTCTGTCTCTCTCCCTCTCTTGAGGCTTAAATAATTCCCTCTTAATGTGAGTAAAATGGCAGTGAAAGTTGGCTCTCCAGAAATGCTATTTGCTCCCCACAGAGGAAGTTCCTGGGGCGGGGAGGGTGTAACATGGCCACAGGATCTGAGAGGCTCCGAGGGCCCCCTCACGCTTCCCTCAGGGCATTTCCTTCTCTGGTCTCTACCCAAAAGCCAGCTAAAAACCCTGCTGAGCGTCACTGGGAAAGTTTGAAGAGAAGGCCCAGATGAAGCCCCCACTCTGCACATCAACTCCTCCGCCACGGTTTCCACCCGCCCCCCAGCCCCACAGCTGGGCTGAGGGCGGTCACCCTGTTGGAGAAGGCAGTCTGTAACCAACTCCATTTTACAATGGAGCCCCCACCCCTTCAGACCTCAGCTGACTTTGAAATCTGTCTCCTGTTAGTGGTTAACTATGGTGAAAAATGACCACTACCTAGAACGATACAACCTACCCATGGCCCAGCTCAGTGAGTCTTCATGCACTGCTCCCCCCCAAATCCCAAGAGTTTCGCAGCCAACAGAAAACACCCCCACAAGGCTCCTGTGGTAGCAGCTATCAATGGAGGGGGGTAAGAGCACAGGTCCCTGGGCCAAGGCTTCCCCTCAATGCCCAGGAAACACAGTCATCCCTTCAACATGCCCCCCCCAAGTGACAGGAACCCATCAGCAGCCCCCAGCCTGACAGGGCTGCCTGGCCTGGAGCAGCTCAGGGAGCAGAGCCACACCACAGCCGGGGCTTTCTTGAGGCAGCCCAGGAAAACCCCTCAGCCACCCTAGATCCTCCCTGAGGCCCACCAGACCAGTCCACAAACAGGGCAGGCTGGGCAGCCGACCTCCCCCGCACCCCCTCTCTTCCTGGGACCCTCACACAGGCCTCCTGCCTCCTCTCAGGGATTGGCAGTCTTGAGCCCACTTCCCCCCCCCACCCCAGGGCCCACACGTCCCACGCGCCGTGGCAGGTTTCCCAAATGAAAGAGAGGTGGGTCACCCTTGGTGCAGGGTGGGGGGTACGAAGTGGTTTCGGGAGGCCCCAGGCGGGCCCTGGGGCCCTGGTTCAAGAGAAGCACACCAAGAGAGGGCAGGCAGGGGCACAGTGTGCAGGGCGGAGGGTGGGAGGAAGACAGGACGTGAGGGAGGGGCTGCGGGGCCGCGTTACTTGGGGCCGTCGTCCGCGTTGCCCTCTCCATCCGTCTTGCCCTCCTCCTCCGTCTTCAGGTCGTCCGTGCTCAGTTTCTGCTCTTTTTTCCTCCTCACACACTTTACTACCATCAGCACCAAGATGACCACCGCCAGGAAGCCGCCCACGGAGGCGCCCACGATCACGGCCACCGTGGAGTCCCGCTCAGGGGGCTCTGGAGAAGGAAAAGAAACAGACCCACTGAGCACCAGGGCAGGGAAAGGGAGCCTCGTCCACCGCCCCCTGCTCCCCGCAGTATGCGCGGGGTGGTCCTCACCGGACGCTCTGCGTGGAAAGGACTGTAGTCAAAGCCAAAGTCAACTCAGGCCCCTGAGCTCTCCGCGCCCCACCCCAAAATCCCAGGGCACCTCAAAGCCCCAGGGGAAGACAGTAAAATGCAGAATTTGAAGAGCCCGGACTTTGAGATGAAATAGACCCAAATTTGAGTCCTAATTGTACTGTTCACTCATTGCATGACCTTAGGTGGCTGACTTCTCTGCATAGCGAGTGCCCAACCAATGAACGCTGCTATCATGACTCTTGGCATCATGACCATGACCGAGGTCCCAGTCCTCAGAGTCCTGAGGAAGTAGCAGGGGTGCCCTCCCCCCAACACAAGCCAGAGCTCCCACCCTCAGGAGGGCACAGCCCCTCCCAAGGAGTGGGGTTATCCTCCTGCTGGAGGGTGGGGGGCGGTGGGACAAGCAGGGGCCCCAGGGCAGCAGGCTCCCCGCTCTGCCTGCCCCCTCCCTCACCTTCCATGAGGACCTGCAGGTAGATCTTGCCATGGCCACGGTGGCGGTCAGGCGGGTTCATGATATAGCAGTTGTAGGTGCCCACATCCTCGAGCTGCACATTTCTCAGCGTCACCGACACGTCATACTTGCTGGGGTTCCCTGAGAACTCCACACGGTCTCGGAACCGTTCCAGCTTCAGGTTGATGATCTTCATGCGGAACTGGAGGAACTGGGGAGGGGTGCTGCATGAGCAAGGAGCTGCAGGGGGTGCCCCTCCCCGCCATGCACCTGGTCCCCTGGAAGAGAGGCGGTTACCTCCAGGTCTCTGCCACCCTCCCAGGGCCACCCAGGCGTGACCACACACCTACCGCCGCAGCCCTCTGGAGGAGACAGCCCACCAGGATCCCCAGGGTCCTGGTCCAGGGCAGGGGCAGGTGGTGGGAAATGTGGGCTTCGTGCCCAGCGGCTCCTGCCCCCTCCTTCACCCCGCCCCCATCCCGGGACTCACCATCTCCTCAGAGCAGTTACTACACTCCTGGTAGGTCCAGTTCAGGGAGAACTGTTTGTGGTTCACTGTGTAGCAGGAGTTGAATGTACAGGGCAGACGGGCATCAGAGCCATTGAGGACGTTGAGGGTGGTAGGTACTGTGACCTCCATGCTCCGCCCTGGTGGCACTGTGGATAAAGCCACAAGCTGGTGAGGATTCTGGCTCACAGGGCCAGGGAGGGGGCAAGCCTTCTGCACCTGCTGGGGACTGGAGCAGAGCCATGGCCGTGGGCGGGGTCCCTTAGGTCTGAAATTAGTCAGGGAGTGGTATGGGGCAGGCAACGCTCCAGGGGGTTACCTGACGTGGCCCTTGGGGTAAAGCAAGGCTGGGGTGGAGAGAAACAACATTGCCTGTCAAGTCAGGGGCAGACAAATGGCCCCAAGTCTTTCCCAGGACCATCGTTGTCTACAAGGACAGGAGCCCCTTCTGGAGATGTCAGGCCTGGAAACTCCCCAGCAAGGAGCTGACACAGGCTGAAGGGGTGACAGGGTGGGGACAGTAGGTTTCTGTCAAATCCAGTAAGGAGCACCGGGCCTGGTCCAGAAGAGCTGGGTGCTGGGGCTGCCCGGCCCATTCTGACACCCTAAGCAGAGCAGAGTCTAGGGTGGGTGAAGGAGCCCAAGCCCTTCCAGTTGAAGTCACAGGGATCTCCATGGGGCAGAAAGCCTTGGACACAAAATTTAAGGGCGCACCGACCCTCAGGATCAGGCAAACACCACCTTAAACTGCACACCGTGGGCACCTCACCGGCCTCACCCTAGTCCTGATCTTAACGCTAAGATTTTCTGCCAGTATTGTCAAAGCCTCATCCCAAAAGATTCATTTTCTTTATAGGGGATAAGCAGTAACGTTCAGTATCAGCCATGCATTCACTCATTTACCCAATATTTATAAGCCATCCCCTACACCCCCACACACTTAGCCTAGGCTGGGGGCGGGGGTTATTGCTGTGAACAATGGTGGCAGGGTCCCCAACACACCAAGTTTGTGTTTGAGGGAAGGGAACACACACTAAGGAGGAAAAAAATTACAGTGTAACTTTACATAGTGATGCCTGGCAGACACTGTAAGAACTAAAGCAAAGGGAAGGGGCCGTTGTTTCCTAATGGTAGTCAGGGAGGACTGCTTGGAGGGCCTGACGTGTATGTAGCCCCTGACAAAGTGAGGGAATGAGCCATCTCAAATCCTGAAGGAATCAAGTGCCAAGCAGCGGAACATCAAGAGCAAAGTCCCAGTGGCTGGAATGAGTTAAGCACAAGGAGCAGGGGACCAAGGAGCAAATGCTAAGACCAGAGGTCCCAGAGTTAGGCAGGGGCGAGGCACCAGGGGCTTTGGGGGCCCGAACTCGGGAATTAGGATTTTCTTTGAGTGTGATAGGAAGCCGGCAGCGCCTGGGGGTGGAGAGGGAGGAGGGGGCAGACGGGGGAGGGGCAGACGGCGTGGCTAGGAAGCTATGGCTGCAGGAAAAGCCTAGACAAGGAGATCCCATGAGACACGGGGTCCCTTCCAGCTCTGCCTTCCATCGGCTGGGAGGATGTGGGCAAGCTCCTTCACCTTCCAAGCCCCAGTCTCCTGCTCTGTAAAACACAGCTGATGACACCCACCTCCTGGGGCTGCCATGATCATTTTAAAGAGAGAAAATACGGAAAGCGTGATGCGCCGGCTGGCAGCTCCAGTGCCCTACACTCTCCTCAAGTTCTGCCCCCTAAACAGGAAGGCCTTCTTGGGACACTGTCCTCCTGGCAGAGGGCAGCCCCTTGGAATTTCCCCAGCTCTGGCAGCCGGCGCGGGCCCCGCAGCCGCGGGCCAGAAGCATCCCCTGCAGGGCTGCTCGGCGCTGGGCGGCCGGGCCCACCCCGGAAGCAGCCGCACTGCAGCCGCGAGCGGGGCTGTCTGTCTGCTCAGCTCCCCCCTCAGGATGCGTGGCCAGGGCTTAGTGCACGAGACTTAAAGGACAGGTGAGGCTCTGAAGGGCTGGCCCCAGAGGTCACAGCGGAGCCTTCAGTAGAGGGATTGGGCGTGCACACCCTCCTGCAGGCCGAACGCTCGCTAGAGGAGCGTGAACTGGGGAGGCTAAGGGGGCTGCCAAGAAGAGCAAAGCCCAGTTCCCGGATCCCCACTCTCATCAGCATTATGAAAGCACCTAGCACAACGCCAGGCAAGGAGGAGGTGTGCAGAAAATACCACTGCCGCCCGCGCCCTGCAGAGGCAGAGAAATCTGCAAGGAAGGAAGCAGGCAAGGCCTTGTCCTGAGCTTACCTCTTACCCAAGGAAGGCCCCGCTTCCTCTAACCCCCTCCAAGAGCCGCTACCCTCCCAGGGCCCCCTCCCAAAAGGGGCCTCCACGTGACCCCAGAAAGCAGGTGCTGTAAATCGGGCTGACCTATCCCTGGCCTCTTTCCCCGCCCAGCCCACATCCTTCAGATGAGAACTTGAAACCCACAGGGCACCCCTCTCCACTGTGAAGGAGCCAGCACCCTGCCGCGTGGAAGGGCAGAGCTGTGGGGAGGTCCTTTCTGGCTGGCCGGAGGGAGCCGAGGTGCAATGCAGGGTCCCTTTCCCCCAACCCCCGCCCCCGCCGCAACCCGGCCGCCTGCCCCCCGCTGGAGTCACCAGGAGGAACGCGAGCGCCCTCTAGTGGTCAGAGGCGTTTAGCGAGTCCCAACTGCAGAGAGAGGCTGGGATCACCAAATCAGAGGAAGCCGGACAGGGGCACCTCCAGAATTGTGAATCTAGACCCACCGCCTCACCAACGAGGCAAATGAGGCCCTGAGGGAGACACACAGAGGACAGGGACAAGCCGGGGCCAGACCGTGGTTCCTGACTCCTACGCCAAGGCACCCACGTCAGCCCAAGTCCCCACCAGAGTTTTAGGCCTCTCACCAATCCAGGCCCCCATTAAAGATGAAGAAACCACCATGCAACAAGGTCAGAGCTGTGAGCAAAATCCTGATAAACTCTGCAGCCTCCGGAAAGTAGCCGAGTCTGCAGCTAGGGCCATAGAAAGGACTTCACAATAACAAGAAAGTGCTTACTGCAGGCCAGATGCTTTCTTACCCATTCCACAGATATGACCTCATTTGATACTTACAACAGCCCTCTTACCAGCCCCCTTTCCAGATGGTGCAACTGAGCACACAGAAGTTACATGAATAGCCCAAGTTCACAGCTAGTAAATGACAAACCTCGATTTGAGCCCAGGCTGCCAGGCTCCAGACAGGGGTGGGGGGTTGAGGCCCAGTGACACTCCAAGGCATGCCAGGGACCAGGCCTCCAGCTGTCTACATGGCAGATCCAGCCCCAACTGCCAGCCCCTAGCTCCGGGCAGGCTGGCCAGAGGGAAATGGTCCTGTTTAAAGCGACCTCCATACAAGGAAGCCCAGTCCTCCTGGTTGTCCCATTTGGGACCAGGTCTGGGTCTCTCAATTTCCAACTCATAGAAAGGAAATGGGGATCAACGGGGGCACAGAAAGGATGTGGCTTCTGGTTTTAGTTCCAAAGCATCCCTGGCACCCAGACCTCCCCCCCTTAATCTGGGGCCACATCTGGGCAGCCCAGGCCCCATGTTATCCACTGTTCTAACCAGCCCATCTTTCAGAGATCATACAGATTTGCTCACCTCCTGCCAAGCTCTAATCTCCTGCAAAGACAGAATTCTCTTCACCCCTCTTCCCAACCCTACAGCAACCAATGAGGTAGGTTTATGTTCTTCTTGTTTAAAAGAGAGCGTGTCCAAGCAGAGAAATGGTCCCCCCAACCTTCTGGGGCAGCCCCCTGCATCCCAGGGGAGTGTGACACCCAGACCCTTCCTCCTGCTTTCAGACCCTCCCCCACCCCAGGAGCTCTGCCTCCTAGCCCAGTCTACCTCCAGGCAGCATGTCCTCACGCCCCCTCCACTGGCTCCCTGTTGTTTTCAGGATCAAGTCCAGGTTCCTGGGCACGGCTTCCGTTTGCCATCTGGGACCAACCTAGGTCCTGGCCTCCTGCCCTGCCAGCTCCCAACCCTCCATTCTTCCTCCACTCGGGGATCCCCGACTCATTACTTGTCCTGACAAGCCCACCTTCTTTCACCCCTCCATGCCTCTGCACACATTTATGCTTCAGGCCGGGGAGCTCTTTCACCCTTCCCGACCTGGGGCCCTCACCTATGCTGCAGTTCCCAGCTAATGAGGCATGCCTCAATAACAGCATCGCCGGCACCTGGGCCCTCTACCCAGCCCAGTTTCTACTGCTTCCAGGTGACCTGAAGGCAGAACAGCATTGTGGCCAAGCAGTCAGATCTTAGGCAAGAGAGTTAACCTTCCAGACCTCAGTTTCCTCATCTGTAAAATGGGAGACAATAATAGAACCCGACTCCTAGGGCAGTTGTGAGGGTCACATGACTTGCTAACGTATGAAGCTCCCAGCGATGCCTGGTACATAGCCCTTGATGAAGGCTAGCTGCTATCATTCTCAGCATCATTAGGATTGTTATTGTGACAGCCCCTGTGATTTTGTGCTGTCATTATCTGTTCGCATGCCCATGTCCCTTGGGAGGCTCGGGGGAACTGATTTCTACTCATCTTGGTATCCCTGGCCCCAGAACGGTATGTGACCGCAGATGGGCACTCCATAAATGTCTGTGGAAGGAAAGAAAGGCATTTTCCCCTCCATGTCTGGATCGCTGCCCCCAGCAGAAGACACGTGCAGTGGACTTGAGTGAGGACCTCGCCTCACTTAACCCAGACTTGGGTAACAAGGCTGGTGACTGCAGAGCCCATGGTCTTAAGAAAACCTCTGGGAAGTCCAGTCATTTGGATTGTGTCTAGCTAAAAACTAGTCTCACATGCTTCTGCTGTGTGTACGGCCGATTGCCCCGCTGGTTATCCTCTATGACTTACCCGCTCTTTGGTTATCCTCACAAATCCTGCCCCTGATGTGGTCCCTCCCTCATCATTTGTCCCTCCATCTTGGAGGCTGATGCCATTACGACCACCAAAGTTCCAGTGTCCACCTGAGCCCTTAGCCTTGGTGTGCCAGGGCATACCTCATCATATCATCAGTCAAGTTCAAGTTCAAGATCTACTGCCCAGGTTTGCAGAGACTCTAACTTCCTCCCACCACCATCTCACAACCCCCACTCCCTGACGTCTTCACTCCAGACCTCATCGTCCCCTAAGACACACCCTGGTCATGGTCATGGAGCCCCCTTCCTTTCCTCACTTAGATCAGGCTCTCACAAGACTGTCCCCCTCCCGCAAGAAGCTTTCCCTAACTCCCAAGGGAGTCACCTGTCCTCCATCCCTGGTTCCTTACACCCAGGTCATCCACCCACCTCCCCATCTTTTTGCCTGCGCTTGAGATTGTTTGATCATTACTGTTAATGTAGCAGTACCGTTTCTTGAACATTGGGGGCAGTAGAGTTCAACAGCTAAGTACTAGAAGTCCAACAAGCCGACAAACCGGTTCAAATCTCAGCTCACTTGAACTAGTCGTGTGACTTTAATTTACTTAACGTAAGTAACTTAGTTACTTCATTTCGCTGTGCCTGTTTCCTCATCCATAACAGAAGGATCATAACAGCATCTACCTCATTCGGTTACTGATTATCTTGAGGACTAAATAAGCTATACAGCCCCTGCGCCCGTGAAAAGCGTTCACAAAGTTCAGCTATTATTGAGCACCTGCTGTGTGCCTGCCTCACAGAAAAACCCAGGCATTCTCCAGTTTACCCATGAAAGAACCGAAGCTCAGAAGGGTCAAGTAACTTGCCTACGGCCATGAAGTAAATGACAAAGGTGGCTTTAAACCCAGAGCTGATTCCAAGGCTCCCCCTCTTTGTACAGCCCACGCTTCTGTAACATTCCTGCTCTGTTGTTAATACTGTCCAGGAACTCAGCAAAGCTAATAGGCCTTATGACGCAAGCTGACAGGAGCTCTGTGTTGTCTCTGTCTAGCACTCCTGCCCAACATCCAACACAGTACACCAGAGAAAGACAAGGAGAGGGAGGGAGGGAGAGGGATTCTGTGATGCGGAATATCCCCACTGACAATCCCAGGACTTGACCAACTACTACACCAGCAATGAGTAAGTTTAGGAGCAAGGATGAAACTACCCATAAAGCAGGCTTGCAAATAACTCTCTAGCCCACCTACTCACCAGGAAGTCCTGAGTGGTCAAATATGAAATTAACATTCGGATCACTTGACAAGGCAGGCTGCAAGGCTGGGCTGGTCTTAAAGGGCCACAGGCACACTCAGCCTGTGAGTTCCTTTTTTTTCTTTTTTTCCTGATCCCTTCACCTGACCCCCTCCTCCACTCCATCTGGCCCACGCCAGAGGCCTCCATCAGCGCTTGCTTCAGCAAGTCTCTTCCCAATGCAGAGATCATACTTCAAGCCTGCTTCCCACCTGCCCCCCCAAACATCTCAACAAATCAGTGGTACAGATTTCCAGGAAACAAGACCCAGACTCAACTTTCTACCTCCCACTCTCCCAAACATTCTTTCCTAATATCCTAAATCCACCAGATTCCAAAGATCACGGTCCACAAGAGAAGCCCCTTAAGGGAGCATGAAGACCCAGGACCCCATATTTGCAGCAGCTTAAAAAAAATCCACAAAGAGACTTTGCAGATCGACCTATCCACTGCCCCCACCCCCACATAAGTCTGTTTCAGGGAAACCCAAAGAAAAATCACCTCCAGTGATAACTGTCACCCCTGAGGAACACTCAGATCCCCCGACCCCACATTTCTGTAACCAAGTAGTCCCAGCGTTATGCAGTCCCCAACAATGTCTTCCCCCAGTCCTCGGTACCTCCCTTCCCAAGGACATGAGGCGAAGCTCAAGCAATCAATGTCTTCTTCCTTGCCCCCGGCCCCCATCCTCTTCCAGCTTTGGCTACACTTCTGGACCCTCAGGAGCATGCAGATGTGCAGTCTAACTTACCCAAAGAGAAAAAGAGACTGAGCCCCGTGAGTCTGAAGGCAGGGCGAGGTAGCCAGGCATCTCTGTGCATTTTCAGAGACTGAGATGTTAGTCGGGTGGGATATGGGAGAGGGTGATTTGAGGGGCCGAGGGCTACAAGGGAGGAATGGTTAGATGCTAAAAAAAAATGCACAGATGTACTTCAAAGACACATACAACATTAAGGAAGCTTTATTTCCATCTCTCTAATATGGCCGGCTTGTATGTTGCTGCTAAAAAGAGAGAGGGAGTGTGTAAGGGAGAGAGAAAAAGGGGGATGGAGTAAATTCTGTGGTTGGTGGATTTTGAAAAGCAGGTGGGAGGGCATAAAAAAAAATCTTTCTGAAAAGAACAAAGTTCCCCGGGATTTTTTCCCCTCTAAAACAAGAACTAAAGCAAATCCTGCCT